CGGCAACCCTTGGGGCGGGCTGGGGCTGCGGCCCGACAGCCTGATCTAGCGCAGATCCTTACGGTACAACGTCTCTGGTTCACAGGTCGTAGCCAGGCAACGTATGGTGGTGTGTGCTTCCTGCCAGGATCACGTCATGACAACTTAAATATCGTCCTTGTTAACTATTGAAGCACCCACCAAACTGAAAACATTTTAACGACGTGGACCCCCTGTACTGGCTCACACCAGAAGTTCTGTCTGGGCCAGTAAGAGGCCTGGCCAAGACTGTAGTAAAGCTGTACTTCCACTCCTCCTGCCCTTTTTTCCTGGATTTTTGGCTTCATTTCTGTCGCCAGAGGTATTGTGATTTTTAGTAGCCCTCAATTTTTCGCCTGTCAGTTTGCCCCGTTAGTTGTTGAAATCATGGGCTGCTGGCAGCTGCCCTGTCCCTGGGCAGTGCTCTGTGACTCAGCTCCCCGCTGAGCGACGAAACGCTCCTGTGCTCCTCTGGTTTGTTTTCAGTCTGTTGCTGGGCAAGCTCACGTGATGCCCACTAGATCTGGTCTTACGAAAGACCGCGGATTATCGTGAAACACCACGGATTATCATTCCGTGGTCACTTTCTCCATGCCTCTCGTGATTTTATTGACTTCTATCATATCCTCTTCAGTCCTGTCCTTCCCAGGCTAAGGAGAGTCCTTGTTTATTCCCAGCACAAAACAGGATCCCCATCTTCAATCATCAATGTTATCCTCTTTTTTACCTTTTCCAGTTCTCTTCTGTCCTTCTTTGAATGGAAGAAAGGAGAGAAACGGAACACAGTATTATCCAATGTTTTAATCAAGTTTTCCATTTTGTTCTCCATGCCTGCCTTACTAGTTACTTAACATAATTTAACATGTATTGTACTTGCCGTCACAGAGCCTGTAACCACCTCTCTGTTGGCTTCTATCCTAGGCCTAGTTTCCTGACAAGCTGTATGTGTGACATAGGTACCTTCAGACAGAACTATTCATATGCTGAAATGATTTGGCTGTTGCCAAAAATTCAGCTTTACTCCCTACAACTTACACAATGAAGGTGTGTCCAAATACACGCAAGCATTATTAATAGTACAAACCTTATGGGTTTTTATTATTTGCTCTTTGTATAGACCAAAGTAGAATGCATTTAATTAAAGTGAACATTGTATGTGAATTTCTGGAGAGATCGGGTCACTCTCAAGATGGTATTTTTAACAAGTTCCTAAATGTTTACAGACAGAAACGTGATTTTTAGCTTGATAGCGCAAGTAGCACATGTTTTTGATCATTTCCTTGCAGTGCTGTTGTTAAATGGAAGTGCGCTCAATTCTTCTGTCATTCCAAATTGTAGCAAATTATAGTCCTAAATTAGTAATGCGCACAGGCTTGACCTTAAATAATTCAATTAGGCAACAAATGAATCCTTCTGTGCCCGCAGTTCAGACAGCATCTTTCGTAGTACTGATGGCTAATTAACTTTACCCTTTAGCAGTACCTAGCAACTTCACGGATTTGGTTTGTAACTGTAAACGTTTCAGTGCGTTAAATAATTAAGAGAACACTCTGATCTTATTTTTTCTTTGGAGCCTAATGTTCAAAATATTACAGCCATTTATAAATAAACTAGGCTACAAAATGTCAGGCAAAGTTGTCAAATATTTACTTGGGCTTTAACAATTAATAATGTAGCACTGTGTTCCACTGAAAAATTGCTGAAAAATTAGACTGAACATATTTAATGAAATTTTAACATAATAGATTACCTACTTTTAAAAAATAAAATATATGGCAATGTTTACAACAATTGATTTTCAAGAGCTATTCCTTTTTGTAGGTTTTGCACTCTTAAATTTTTCAAGTTATGTTAATTTGATTGTTGTTTCCAACCTCTCTTCTCAATCATAAAATCTTGAATTTATATAAGCATTAATGGAAAGGCATAGTACACTTGCATGTTTCTGGACAAATACACGTAGTAGAGACCTTTCTAAATAAGAAATATAGAAATGTCCCTAAGAGGATAGGAACTAACCACAGATTAAAGAAATTATGGGGTTTTTTTCATATTTTCAGACAATCCTCTAATACAGATGCCAAATTTTTCATGGTTTTCTTCATAGGATTTAGTACTTTTTGTAAAAACTTAGGGAGTGAAAAAAAACAACCACTTGAAGTAGGAGGTGACTTCTGAAAATACTACCTTTTATCTTACACGTTAAGAACCATTAGGAATTTCTTGCCTTTATTTCTTTTTTGGAAGGGGGGGGGTGCAAAAGATTGCTTTTCAGTACCTGTTTTGAAGGTTTCCAGTGGGTGTTGGTTTCCTGCAGGGAGCACCTGGGGGTTTGTAGCATAATCCTGTGTGAAAAAACAACTTAGCGTACATAGTTAGTAAATGGCTATGGGCTTGATTATGCTCCCAGGGAAGCTTTTAGAAGTTCAGCCTTTGCTTTCTTTGGAGGCCTTCCGTGTTTCCTAACCACTGACAATCATGTGCCCACAGGATGACAAATGGGCAGATGCGATATGGTACTAGGGATACTGTAAAAGGAGATAATTACTTTGTACTTTTCTGTCTGCCTTCCAGTTGGTGATGTTCTGTGCATCATAGATGGGACCATGAACAGT